TTGAGCCACAAGTTTCTAACCTGATGCAAAGAAGAAATTTGATATATGGCAGCAATATACTTGGGGCGATAGTAGATTGCAAATTGCATAATGTGTAGTTTGAAAATTTGGAAAAATAAGAAAAGAATAAACAATTGATTTTTTCTAAACATTTGAAAAAGTAAACAAATTGGAAAGTTGTAAAATGTACTCGTGGAGTCGTGGTCGCCATTCTAGATTTTTGAAGGGGGTCGGGCGGAAAAGATGGCATTGTTCGGTTCGATCAAACCAAAGCCGAGTAACATACATGTGCTAGCTCGAGGGACAAATTCATCATTTCATTACGGTTTCTCTCTCGAATTAGATAAAAATAATAAAGCAATAGTTTTGGTGTCCCCTCAAATATTTTTATGATGTTTGTAATGTTTATTGTTTTTCATTTCCCATCCATCTAGAGTAAGCTTGTATACCTTGTAAAGGACACGTGTGTCATGCAATACTAACGAGTTTTTAATACCGGCAGAAAACTAAAAAGAGCTGAAAAAAATTCATGTCATGTCCCTACACAAAAGGTGGTCCCACATGATTAACCGCTTTGTCAGAGACGCTTAATAATAATGTGTTGGCATCAAGTGGTGCTGGCCCACCCACGCACACAGAGAATCAGGGGAGGGAGAGCAGTGAGCGCGAGGGTTTCTGGGCTCAGGAATCTAAATAAAAAAACCAATAATAAATATACTAGTGGAGTAGTAGTACAATAATAAATACATGTAAATTTATATTTACAGCTAATTGTATTTAAATTTACAGTTAAACTTTTTAGCAGGTGATATACTCATCGATAAGGAATGGTCCGTTAATCTTAAGATATATCAGTATATTCTAGAGGTGATTATAGAAATAGGGTACGTGCGTATACGTTTATATGGGTGAGTGAAACGTACATTACGAGCTCTTAGTTTCTCAAAATAAATAAATGAATAATATAAATAACTTTTCTTTTGATTTGGCTGTAGCAATTGCTTAGTAATTTGCAACCTGCAGATCCGTGGTGCAGACCAAAAGCTGGAATTCTCTGTGGCGCCCGTGTGCTGCTGCCCCCCATCTCCTGCCTGCATTCTCCTTCTCTCTCTGTGGTCCCTTGTGTGGCCCAACTTGCTGCATATATTATACAAAATTATTTATGTACAAGAGAAAATATTAGTACAATAGTAAGTTGTTGTGTATAATGGAAAATGGCATGTGTAAATTGTTAATATGGTAGTAACATTTCATGGGTTCCTATGTCTACCCATTACTGAAGGCTAAACACAAGGTGACTAATATTATCTTCCGTCATAAAAATGTTTCATTTTTTCTGAAAAAATCTATACATATTAATGTTAGTACCGTCTTCTAGACGCAACTTCGATTACTAATTTGTATTGTAGGTACTATAATATTATGAACCATTTTTTTTGGACTAGCCTGCAGATATGGTTTTTATGCATCCGATCTAAATATTCAAAAGATATTGATATCGATGCACAAAGGTTTTAAAGTTAGACTTAGAACATGACTAGAGTAACATGCTTCCATGACTTGGGGGAGTGTAACAAGTACATGCACAGTGTATACCTGTGTTGTTTTGTACATGAGGAGACGTATATGTATTCTCTCCCCAACATATTAGCAAACATCCAACGTGTCACTCACCAGACTGTATAATTATTGTTGTTGTACATGTCGGAAGGTCTAACCCAATTATTGCTTTCAGGGTATTTTGTGAGACAAGTTTCTAAATAACATTATTTAGAATTAGATCTTGTGTAAACATAATGCAAATTATTTGCACGGAACGATGCATGAGACCACAATTATAAAAAGGATCAATGAGACCTTGACAAATTGTATTTATAACTCATGTGCATGAATTTCACATTAAATTATTTACTCATGGATTATTTTCCAGTTACAATTTCATCACTATAAATCACAATGCATACTATGGCGCCCTTATTTCAAAACTCGGGACTCTAAGAAGCATCTATTGAATAAAAAGGAAGTCATCTGATAATAATTAAAAAAACTAGGTTATTTCTAGTTCATTTTTCTGAATTGCATGGGTCTGTTTGGCTGCTATATGCAGCTGCTGGGCTATCACAGCTACAAATACAAAACAATGTTCCTATTGGCTGCAGTACAGTAATAAAAATTGCAGCCGAACAGAGCCCATAGCTATAGATTCTTATACATAATTTGAATAAAAATCTATAGATTGGAAACTGGAGATGCTGAAAGAAACTACTGAGTGCTAGTAATATTTTTCCTTAAAGCCACATGAGATGCCACCCTATGCTTGAGCACAGAAGATGAGAGCTGTGAAGGGCATTGTAATTATTGGGGTGGGCCCGCAGGGAACCTAAATAAAGGAGGGCCCCACATGGGAGAGGGACGTGTGTTTGGTGGTGGCCTGTGATGGGAGGCGACTCTCACTTTCATGAGCTGACGAGAGTGAAATAAAGCATGAAAACGCCATCTTTATTTATTTACTTATTTATTTTTGCACCGTATTTATTTATTTGCCACCTCCAAAGTCCTTCCATTGCACACTTAATTGCCAAAGAAAACCAAACACAAATTGATGGGAACATCAGATCACATGATCACCACAACATTTTATGCCATACGATGGATTGGTCGATGATACTTTATGAGATTCGTATATTTAACCACAATATCAAAGTAGTGCACAATAGATTTGTTGATTTGATGTCCCTACTTTCCAGAGAAAATGTTGTGTGCTGCTGTGATTTTGAGCAAGCTTGAAGTAAAATAACTATAATTTTTAATGTTAATGGTTCATGGCAACCAAAATATCTTTATTTTACATTTTTGGCATACAAAATATGATGTTTTTTTATTTATGAAACACATATAATCATAATTCCTTTTGAAATTAGTTACAGTATAGTTGAAGCTTGAGCATTATATCACCAAGCTTAAGAATCAATTGACATAGTTTAAAATTTTAAATACCTTTTTTTTTGCATGCTTCTGCAAAAACATATTTTCAGCATGACATGCCTAACAATCAACTTAAAACATTGATCGTGTTAGTTCTATAATAAACGATGTAAGCATAAAACTTAACCAAAATGCATGTAAAAGTAATATCTATTGTATGGTTTAAATTGGATAATATCATATAGTATTAACAAAATAATATATATGGAATACATAAATAAAATCATGCATATACTTTATTGCAAAGCGATATTATAGTAAATAGGAATATAGCTTAGATGACATTCTCTTATCATATAGCATGCAGCAACGAAAAGCACGCATCAAGAAATTTAAAAAAAAACTGATATGTGTATAGCAAACTTGATGAAGCAAGATGAAAGTGCATATAGGACCCCTAATTATTTTGGTGTTAATGACAATAAAAAAGAGGGTTACTAATGAAGTTTGTTGAGATGTTGCAAGGTTCAAAGTGATCAGTTGTTGATTCAAATGAAACATATAGTCTCCATTTAGCATCGGCATTTTATTTTAAATTGCCTTTTCAATCCCCTCTAGTCTCTGAAGACCCTTTCACAATAAAAGGAAAAAAAAACTATTTCAACCCTCCCTCCACCCCCCCCCCCCCCCCAAAAAAAACCATTACATATGAGTTCCAAAGTAACAAGTCAATTTTAAATGGAAAAAAACAAATTACCTCTTGAACTATTGCCATAAAAGTGCCACGTGGCAGCTTAGGAGCGATTTTAGGAGGCTCACGTGGCGGCTTGAGAGTGTTTATAGGGAGTTTAATGGACTTTTAATATATAATAGATTTCGGAGTCTCTGTATCATCGGATACTCTGATCACATCGGATAGTCTGATCTGAAAATCACTCAAGAGAAATAAAAAGCAATTCAAGACAGAGAGTGAAGTTCTGAGAAAGTTCAGACAATCCGATGTATCGGACAATCCAACCTTATATCGGATAGTCCGATATTTTTTAGCCAATACTCAGACCAAAGACACAGAGCAAAGTTCTGTGAAATATCGGATAGTCTGATCAAGATCGGATAGTCCGACAGGAGAAAAAAGGAACACTTCAAATACAGGATTTTGAGCACTAGTGTTCTACCAATTATATGCATGTGGTATCCCTCTTAATAGTACGGCATCCTAATACTCAAGAACACAATATATACATGGATTAGAAGACAATTACCACAAAAGATGCCGCAATGCTTTTAAACTCAAGTTCCACTCCTTTTTATCCTTGCATCCATCTCAACAAAGAGCATTAGTGAACCTCTAATTGTGTTGATATTAACACCAAAATAAATGAGGGGTCCTAGATGCACTTTCAGGTTTTATGTTTTTAATTGGATTCATTTAATTCTTTTTTGATTCATTGTGTAATTCCCCTTAGTTGAATTTGTTTATGTGATTGGTTTTCTCTTAGGTTAGATCGAAAGAGGCTAGAGATAAGAGGGTGAATGGAAGAATTTAGAGGTGAGTACTGATTTAGCCTATAAAAAGTCTAGGCTTTTTCTCTTTTCTTTTCTTAATAAACTCTCTCTTCACCATTAATTTGGCTAAAATTTACACCGTTACAATTACTTCATCTTAGGTAGATATTTCACTAAATAAACTACTACAACAACGTGCAATTCTATAAAAAAAACTCAAATATTATCCGTCTCTCCCGTCATATACTTATATTGATTTAGAATCCACGGATGGAAGCACGTATTTCACAAGCTCAGTTACCGATAAAGTTATAGCCAAGAGAATCATCATGTAATATATTATATAAATCTTTCTAAAACATCTACTTCAATGCTAAATCAAAAACCATAGTTTTCACCAAAACATATAAAACATCTTCCCAAAAATTTACTTACATTTTAATTCGAAAACCAAAATTTTAAAAATGAAGGGAAAAAAATAGAATAGAAATGACTTGAAATTGCTGGCACATGTCCCCCTCCTCCTTCCCTCCATCCTTCTCTCTCCTCCTCTCCACCTCTCCTCTTTTTACCTACACACCCTCTTCTCTCCACCCCCTCTCTCTCTCTCCTCTCCTCTCCCCTCCCCTCTCTCTCCTCGCGCTGCGCTCCCCGGCCGAGGCGCGGCGAGCCAGCGAGCCAGCCAGCCACCTCCTCCGCGCGCGCGCGCCTCGCCGGCGTGCAAGGCCCGAGCTCGAGCGCCCCCTCTCCCGCGGCCTGGCCCTCCTCGTCGCGCGACACGCGCGCGCGCGCTCTCTCACGGCCGGCGAGCAGTGTCGGAGCCAGCGCCATCCAGCCAGCGCGTGGGTGGGTTGGGGGCGCGTCGCGGTGTGCTCGCCGGCCGGCCTCGTTCCCGCCGCCCGTCCATCCGTCTCGGGGTCGAATCGAATTTGAAGGTGACTCTCGCTTCTTTCTTCCGGTTCTTGATTTCTTTCTTTCTTGGTTTCTTTGATTTCTTGAATTGGAGGGAGATCCATTGGGGGTCTCGGGTTGATTCCTTCTCCCGCACCGATTAACGGAGATTAGCCCATCCGGGTTTGATTTGATGCGTGTGGGGGTGGTGCTGTTCTAATCGGAGTTTGTTGGCGAACCAAAAATGATTTCTCCCTTTTTTTTTTCTTCTTTTAATTTTTTTTGGGGGGTTCAGGATGCCCCACGTTAGGTCCGCCGCCGTGAAGCTGATGGAGGAGCAGCTGGATTCATCGGAGATGGACATGGACGAGCCCGGCGGCGCCGCGGCGGCGGCGGCGGATGCCAATAATGGCGCCGGGTCCAAGGACTGCCCCTTGCCGCCGCCGCCGCCCAAGACCGCCAAGGCTTGCGCCGCCGCCAAGAAGCCGAGATCGGTGAGCTCCGACTTCGGCGAGGAGCTGGACCTGGAGCAGCTCGGTGCCAAGCAGCAGCAGCAGCAGCAGGAGAGGAAGCTGTCGAGGCAGGACCGCGTCGAGCTGAGCCGCTCGTTCCAGCACGCGGTGAGCTCCCACGACTGGGATGGCGCGGAGGCGCTGGTGCGGAGGGCCGACGCGCAGGGGCTCAACGACGTGCTCTGCGTCGCCGTCGACGCCATCTGGTTCCTCAGCGACAAGGAGGAGCTCGCCGCCGTCGTGGCCCTGATCCGGAGGATCGTGTCGGAGGGCGCCAACGACTTCACCCGCGCCGCGCTCCGGACGTCGTTCCTCGCGTCGTGCGTGTCGGCGTGCAGGGGGAGAACGACCAGCCTCGCCGACGCTGTGAGCTTCATGGGGCAAAAGTAAGCCTGTCCAAAACATGAATTGCATGTTTTGCGACCGCGAAACTTCGAATCGAATTCGGGAATTCGATTCGCCTTTATGCTTTGTATTTGAAACTAGCCTGATACAATTGTGGTGATTGTAATGATTTGTTTATGTATTTATCAGGTTGAACGAGCGCCTTCAAGAATCCCATGGCGACGAGGTATTGAAGGCAGAAGCAAGCGCAAAGGTGCACAAGTTCACAGAGTGGGCTCTAAAGTGTATCGGGCTGCATTCGCGTGTGCGGGAGAACAAGGGCAGAGGAAACCATGGCACGATCATTGAGGTCCAACTTCAGCTGTCTGCTTTCAAGACATTTCTGGATCTTGCCGATAATGATCTTACTGGGAAGGATTTCACGGAGGCCTTTGACGCGGCATGTTTTCCTCTTACACTCTTCTCAAACACCTTTGACCAAGGTTGGGCATCAGGTATCTCGGCAGCTGCAATACAAGGACTCTTAGAGTTGTTAGTAGAGGGTGGTGCCGATAATGTGAACCAGTGCTTTCTTGAGGCTGCTCGCTATGGAAGCACTGAACTCGTGCGCATCTTACTTCAGGTAATAATAAAAACAATAATTCACATGTGAATCTTATTTCAGTTAATAATAAATATTAGTTGTACTATTTAGGTTAATGACTCCTACTGAGCAAACAATATAAATGCAGCACAACTAAGTGGTTCTTAATAGCCTGCACCACACATTGGTCCCCATGATAACCAGGTCATGAATATATGAATATGGAAACTATGTAGAGCTACCACCTTTGCTATTAATTCAGAACTTTGTTCCTTTTGACTGGAAATTGATCTTTTTTTTTTCTCTATGGAGCTTTACTGCTCATGTTTGAATTATACTTGGTGTAACCGTCTTCAACCTTCATGCCTTCGAACCTACCTTAACCTATTACTATACTTTCCAAATTTCTGGAGATCCATATAATCTGTTACATAGAGTAGCTGGGGGACTGTTTTCTGCTGACTTGCTTCATCCAGATTCATTACGACATAACTATAGTATACATGAAAAATCTGGTGAATTGTATAATTCTCCCCTTAGAGAAGCTCATAAATTTTGGGGTGGTCATTAATCTCACTGGAGATACATAGAGAATCCCCAATCAAAGGGAAAAAATGGTGTGATCAATCTATTCGTGATGGAAGACTTTCCTGAACTGCGCTGATTGATCAGGTCCTAAAATAGGTTAATATATTGGAGTTGTTTTGACTTTAGACAGCTGGTGCACAGATGGGTTTCCTTTGTAATTCATCTCTACTTTGGGCAGCAATTGGACCAATTCCATTGTAGGTGCACTATGCATGTATTTAGTCATGCAAAAAAAAAAAGAACAATGTTTTGCCATGCACCTTTTCATGGTTAGACCATCACTCAAATATGGCAGTTCTCGAATTTAATTGAGTTAGATAACAATTGATTATTTGATATATTTACAAATGTTTTCCTGTCTGAAAAATGTACAGGCATTATAGGTCTTGTGAAATAGAAGCTACTCAGGCTGTTTGAGGAATTTTTTTCCTTTTTATTTCATACTTTCTGATATTTTGTCTGTTGGTGCAAATATATCATGAAACATTAGCAGCGTTCTAACATATCTGTTGTTTGTATCTTTTTTTTAGATTGCTCGAAGGAATAGCTTGGACATCGATGTGGATCTAGCCCTTGGCTTTGCTGCTCACTATGGGAAACTGGATACCATGGGGTGCTTAGTTGAGGAGGGTAATGCGGTTGCCTTTCTTGGCCCTTTAATGCGGGCAGCTGAACGGGGATGCCTTCAAGTTGTTGAATGGTTCGTCAACCTTGGTTGTCGGGATATGGAGCTTTGCTTAGCCCTTACTGCTGCAACCTCTAGTAGCCAGGTTGCAGTTGCAGCCTATCTTCTCCCTCTAGTCCCAAAGCATGTTCTTGCACCCCTCAGCGTCGAAATTCTCAAGGCTGCTGGTGAGAGGAGCACCGGTTCCCTGCATGGTGTGGACTTCCTTCTCCGCTCAAACTTCCTCAATGACCCAGCTGCCACATATGCTGTAGCAGACAACATTGCAAAATCTGCCGATGAGGCAGTGGATGCAAAGCTTAGATCTTTCATGCTCGAGCATTGGTCAGAGGCAGCTTTTTCTGAGGGATTCGCGTCTGCGCAAGAGCACTTCGTTAACTTCATGAGGATAATGGAAAAGGGTGAGTCGCCGATCTGCCTGAGGGACCTCCCACTTGAGCTGGTGATTGCCATGGCCTACCTACCACTGTACAGGGAATGCGTGGAGTCAGGTGGGCGGCTATTGCCGCAGAAGCTGAGAGGGCAGCTTGTTGAGGCGGCTGGTAGACTCGAGGGCCGGCAACTCGACAGGGCTAGCCAAGGCACAGAGCTCCTGGCCATCTTGGAGCACCACCTCCCGTGTTTCATGATCCAGACTTGAAAGGTCAGCTTCCACATGATCTGCATTGGTCGCTGCAAGAAGCAAAGTAACAAGGGCAATGCACCATCTTCAGTGTTTTCCAGTGCTGTCATGTTCCTGCTTGGGGACAATCATCTGAAACGATGGCACCTTGAGGTCTCTGAGAGCATAGTGACTGAAGAACTCTCCTGCTGGCGCTGTTCGGAGAGTATATAATTTTGGGGAGAAAATGGTGTGTACCTTCTTGTCGAGCCAAGTGTTGAGTAGATCTTATTGGGATCATAATCTTGATGAAAATGATATAAGCATTGAGCAAAGTGTTCTCCAGTTTTTTCTGAGTGCTAGCCATGGGCGTCATGTTTTTGTTTTGGACTAATGAGTTTTTGAACATGGACTAGTCTCATCTTTCTTGGCTTCACAAACATAAAAATGAATGGACAGTAAGTATATGCTTTATATGCGTTGATGATGCCTTGATTGAGACGCGAGACAGGAAGTATAGTTTTATACTAGTATATTGATCTTGCTGCTGTTTCTTGTCAATTGATTTTTCCTTTTGTTTGAATGCTTCCAAACATCGGATTATCAAGCATCATCCATGGCTACGCGGCCATACCATGAGCTGTGACATGCCAGCTCAAAATGTTCAATCTGCCAAATGTCACCCCTGGTGATCTCTGATTGAAAAAAACCCTGAAAATTGTTTATTTTCCAACTAGAAAATTCTCTGGTGATTCCTAAATTGTTCTGCATGAACATGATTGCAGCCTGTTTGTGTCTGGTGATTTACCACAGGGCAGGCACTGTGTCGTTCTGATGGTTTCAGGGCATCATCAATTTGGATGTTGCAACCATGAAAACCAGCAAGTTAATACTCCTATGTCAGGCATCAGACCTGGACCCTAGATTGGTCAGGCATAAATGTTCTTGTTTAGTACTAGTAACTACTCCTATGTCAGGTATCATAATTCCAAGGGCCAATTGAACAAAAAATAATAGACTTGATGAATTTACATTTGAGTAGCAAAGTCCAACTTTTGCCATAGGGGAAAGCAAGCAGTGCATCTCATCATTTTTTTAGTGTATTGAATGAATATGAATGGTGTTCTAGAGGAATATCCCTTAAAAATGAGAAATGAAGTTAACAAATACTTAGAAAAGCAGGGAAGAAAATGGTGGTTCTTGTCAAACTTCAGAGATTTTTTTTCTTTATATTGGTTCAAGCCTTTTAGTTCACAAACAAAAGGAGAAAAAATATTTTTGAAGGTGCATATGATGTGACATGATATTCCTTTTTCAGTGCACAAGGGGGTGCGCACACCACTAATCATGGTGTTATTCTGTAGTTCTACTGCTAACGAATCAAGCATGTGCCACATGTCCCATGATCTGGCAATTTTTTAGTGTCAAGGGGGATAAGAATATGTTCTCTGGTTCTATTTCACAGAGAGATATTATAATTTAATAAGAATAATGAGTGTAAAGGAAAACATAAAGTTATATAAGTTCTCCTAATTGACCTTAATAATAGTGGATTGGCGAAAGCTCATTTTAGGTCTCTGATCTATGGTTAAGTTTAAATCGCTTACCAGGTTTTGCAGTTGAGGGACGTGGTTTAAACTCGATCCTTGGTGAGGGACCCAAAGTAAACTTTTTTCTATGGGATTGATGTTATGATTTCGGCCCATAGGGTATTGAGGCCCAACAGGTGATAGTCTGTAACCGGAATTTTGGCCCATTAGGCACAGCATAAAATTGTCAGCTGCTCTAGACATGACCAACACACAGTCTGCCCTTACTCCCTAATTCTCTGGTTCCCTGATGATTTTCAGAACACTGAAGCCAATTAGGTGTGGCTTGACTGGAGAAATATTGCTTTGTCGATTTGAGATCTGAAGTTCAGTGTCCAGTCTCCATGTGAAGACATGCTGAAAATGAGTTATTCGTCCATTCTTCAGTTAAAGTTTATAAGTTACTCCTTCCGTTTCAAAATGTTTGACACCGTTGACTTTTAAGCACATGTTTGACCGTTCGTCTTATTAAAATAATTTGTGAAATATGTAAAACTATATGTGTACATGAAAGTATATTTAACAATGAATCAAATGATATGAAAAAAATAAATAATTACTTAAATTTTTTGAATAAGACGAATGGTCAAACACATACTAAAAAGTCAACGGTGTGAAACATTTTGAAACGGAGGGAGTATAAGTATTCTTGTCAACTGATATTCAGTTATTCCAATGATAGAGGGTAGAACCTCGAAGTAAAACCGCATTATTGCAATGTATTGGGGGTGAAAGTTATATTCATGAACTGTCAGTATCAGGGCATAATTTTGAGTGTTGATATTGGCACGGTAGAACGGGATTTGCAACTGAAATTATCCAATTCTCTTTGTGATTTTATCGGTGAAAGTCTAAACTATCATGGACTTCACTCTGCATAATACCCTACTTAAAATTGTCTTATCTCAAAAAAGATACTTCAGTTGCTTAGTAGTGATCAATTGCCTCTGATAGCGTTCATCGACCGAATCTGCAGCTACATGTTTTTTTAGGACAGAAGTTTCTTCTAAAATGTGTGCTTTCTTAGGCTTCAATTTTCACATGGATTGTATTTCAGACTACTTATATGATAATGACAGGAAGGAAATGGAAGACAACCATGCAAGCTTGGGTAACAATGCTCCTACATGGGCTTATTTGTTATTGGAAAAAAATATTTAGTGATTTACACTTCAATATCTGATCATCTGAAAGCTAAATTAGTAATGAATAAAAGGTATTTGACTAGGTAAGCGAACCTATTCTGTTCAAACATTAGTAAAAACATGGACACAAACATTGTTAACTGATGACCTATAGACTGCCATTCTAATGCAGCATGGGCATAAACATTGTTTACTGATGACTTAGTCTGCCATTCTACTTCACATATAACTTAGGAAACTTACATCGCCGCCCTATCCGGATTATTTTGTATGCATTTCTAGGGTCAACCGAAGAATACCGTCGCTTGCGAAGAACTCAAAACAATGCCCATTCTCAGGTGGAGACTTTCCAGTACAGCTGGAGAATTTGATCACTTAAAAGATTGATCCTTTGACAGAAAAAAAAAACCTGCAAATTTTTTTTGTCAGGTAAGGTAATCACACCAGAATTCCCAAATTCAGAGTTTCAGACCAGTAACATATGTAACCTCTAAACTTCAGCATTCAAAATCTGTCTGGAAAGTGATGTTTTACAGCTTGCTTCGTCGCGCTCATCTTATGTCGAATACAAAACCAAAACCAAAATAACAAAAACAAAAATAAATTCCCCTAGGAGATGTATTTACAAGTAAGAGGAAGCCATGCTCCGCACATCCGTTGGCATGAAGGCCAGCACAACCAGCAGGATGAGCAGGCAGACTGGCAGCAGCAGCAGCAGCGATGGCGGCGGAGGCAATGGGGGAAGCACCAATGGAAGTATGAGCAATGACATGGTGAGGAAGACGAGCACGAGGAACGCCTCGATACTGAAGTAATTCGATGTCGCGGCGGTCTTCTTCTCGGCAGCATTTGGCTGATGCTGATGCTGCAGATGCCTCTTTGAACCGTTTGGTCTGGGTATCAGAGGGTTCCTCCTCTGCCTAGCACCTACACCTTCCATTGCAACAAACCCCAAATTCGGCTAGATGTTTTGATCTGTGATTTTGTCTAGATCAGTTGGCAATCCAAGAACTGAGATGTGTATGAGAGTTCTTGTGATTTCTGATCAGATCTGAAGTCTCTGTTGCAGACTTGCCCATCATCTGAACTGCAGGCAAAGTGACAACATCTGAAGAAAAAAAGAAAAGAAAAACCCTTTTTAGAGTTAACAATCATCATCCTAATACCAAATACACCCATCTGAAATTATCAAGAAAGGCAAGTAAAAAGTTCATGCCTTTCCCCCCAACAATTCAAAGAAACTGACTAACCCTAACAAAGACTAAATTAGGCTGCAAAACAAAAAAAACATCAAGAAACCGATACCTTCGATCCTGAACTTGGCATTGCTCCCATGTCCGGACTTCGCGTCTCTCCCAAGAACGCCCTTTCTCGCTCCACCCAACAAGCCAAGAACTCCTCTCCTCCCTCAAAACCCACAACACCCCCAACCAAGAAGCAAATCAAGAACTGCACAGCCCAAGAACTCCAAGCGGCAGGGTCGCAAAGATGTCGTCGCAGGAGGAGGAAGAAGAAGAAGAAGAGGACGAAGAGGTGGATCCTCCCCTGATGGCGAAGCAGAAGATATCCTCGACCCTTTCGGTGATGTTGCGGTGATGAGGAGGAGGAAAGATTAGCATGGTGACAGGGAAGGTGGAGCCGATTTTATGAGTGGGGTGGGGTTTGGCTTGGCTTCAAATCATGGGAGGTGGAGGAAGAACACAAGAGAGGGGAAGGGGGGCTGGATGCAATGCATCAAGGACCAACTTGTGGGGGGCAACCCCATGCCATGCTTACAAGTGGAGGACGACGAGTAGGGCCCCCCAATAGTCCCTACTCCTGCAATTGGAACTAATAGTACTTTATATGCTATCTGTTTTACTCCCTCCGTCCCATAATATAAGGGCCCCTTTGAATCAAAGGGTTTATATAGGAATTTCATAGGATTTAAATCCTATAGGATTTTTTTATATTTGGTCCTTTGATTCAAAGGATTGAAGCTTTCCAAATCCTATGAAATTCCTATGGAATGGCACATTGCATGTGAATTTTAGAGGAAATTTAGCAAGAGATCCAACCTCTTGGAAAATTTCCTTTGAGTCTATCTCTCTCATCCGATTCCTGCGTTTTTCCTACGCTCCAATCAAACGACCATTCCTGTGTTTTTCCTGTGTTTTGCAATTCTCTGTTTTACACTTCAATTCCTGTCAAAATCCTGTGTTTTTCCTATTCATCTATTTTTTTCTACCCTGCGATTCAAAGGGGCCCTAAGGTATTTTGAGTTTTTGTTTGCAACGTTTGACCACTCGTCTTATTCAAAAAATTTTGAAATTATTATTTATTTTATTTGTGACTTACTTTATTATCTACAGTACTTTAAACACAACTTTTTGTTTTTTATATTTGCAAAAAAAAAATAAGACAAGTGGTCAAACGTTGCAATCAAAAACTCAAAATCCCTTATATTGTGGGACGGAGGGAGTATATCATAAGTCGTTTGATTTTTTTTCTTAGTTAAATTTGTTTAATTTTGATTAAGTTTGTAGAAAAATATACTAAAATTTTCAATACAAAATAAATATATTATCAAATTATATTCAATGTTAAAATTAATGAAACTAAATGTTATAAATGCCGCTAATTTTTTCTATGAACTTGGTCGATCCTAAAGAACATTAACTAAGAAAAATGTCAAATGGCTCATAATATGAAATGGATGGAGTAATTGATTATTTAGGGTTCTTTGTTGGGGTTTGATTTACCCTAATTGCCATTATCATTTGTCTCTCCTTGTTTTTTTTTTGGCCTCTTTGCTAATGTGGATTTCTTTTTGAGGTTCTGCGTTGTTCGGCTGAACTCCAGATCCCCAGATGCACATTGATCTAGAGTGTGTGTTGGTTAAATTATAATAGTATAAAATTTTATATTTTCTCTATGAATAAAATAAATTATCCAAATGTTATGAATATAATCAAAATTTTGGACCTATAGATTTGTACAGCTTGAAATGCATATCTTAAAGAAAATACTAGATTAAATAGACGTTAGATGTGTAGTAAAGTGCTGTGGTGTTCATTTGAGGTGTATGGTAAAGGTTCTTTTTACTAGTTTTTTTTAATTCGTCTTTTTACTAGCTTCTCGTTTAAAGTGGTTTATGGGGTCTTGAATGCAGACCTTTTACTGTTATCTTTTTAAAAAAGTGTGTTACTAAAAGTTATTGGAGGTATCATGATGTGAGCTCTTTTCTTTTACCGAGAAATCTGGTAATATCATTTTGAACATGACAAACCCGAATAATTGGATGGGTATGTATGGACGGCACATATTCTAAAACGTCACTAGCAAAAAAATAAAATAAAATAAAATAAATAAAAACTTGTCGACTGCCTTAAGTCTTGTTTAGAATAATTATGCTCTTTCCAAAGGCTAGCCTTTGGTGGATATCGATTAGAAAAAAACAGACGGTTTAGGAATATCTATACATTTTCTGATATTTGGTATGTTAGGATTGACCTGGTATTTGGTTCATAGTTAAATACAGTGACAATGTATGTAAACTACTTTTAGTATCTCCTCTTCTAGAAAGTATTATAATATGCTTGTTGTAATGATCCATTTTGGCAGTTGATGATTAAGAATCAAAGCTCTCTCCAAGAGACAAACTTTGACAAAGAGGACTGGTTGGTAAGATTGGCTCGACTGTTCTTCAACTAGATATACAGAAGTCTGTATACATTGTCACTGTATTTAACTAGTATTAATTATCCTGACGAGGATCCGTCAGGCAAATTAAAATTTCGCTGACAAGCCAGTCTTGACGGGATTTCCCTGACGGTACAAAGTCAGGACGTATTTTCCTAACGTGATAATGGATTTTCTCGACGGTTTTTGGCTGTCAGAAGTAATCTGGTTTTTGGTAGTGACTACATAAATCTACAACCATTGTTTATTTTCTAAAACTATTTTATGATAATGCTGCATTTTTTCCTGGATAATATTTTTGTGCTAAAATAGCTAGTCAATATTAGATTTTAAATAACAAATAGTCTAGTCCTCTGCACTTGTATATGTACATGCAGTAAAGTAATTCATATTTCCTAATAAAGTAAAATCAAATTAATCAAGCCCTTTAGTTTGCATTTTGGTCACAAGTATTGGGTCCCTTATTAGAGTGTGGTGGTGATATTCTTCCAAGCACTTTTGAAAAGGGAGAGGTGTTGCTGTTCAAGGGTTCTTCTCCCCTAGCCACCTTTTTTGTGTCCATATATGTGAAAATCAATCACCCACTTGCTCTGCAAAGTCCTTATCAAACTCCTAACAACATAGACATTATGAGCAAATCACAAATTCACAGTCAATATTGCTATCAAAGAAATTTTGTTCTAGAATTGCAGGTTTGTACTACTTTCATATACATTTTTTCCTTCAGGATGTTTAGTCACCATTATCAAGGGAAAAATAGCAGAATTTAGCATTGTTATGTCAAAGAATTTCAGATTGAATCAGGGGAAAGCTGTCTTGGATTAGTGATAAAGACACACTTTCATCTCTGCTCAAAGGGTCACCAGTGTTGCAGCCATTTCAGCTCCTGCTTTGTTTCTTTTAATTTTGTTGTAGTGGTCTAGTCAGCATGCAAACGTGGCAAAACCGTCGAGTCAGTATGCCACATAAGCAAAATCATTTTGCGAAACAATTAAGGGTTATTTGGATCAGACAAAAGAATTACAGGGACTCAGTATCTTGCTTAATATTGATTTGAGATGCTAGAGGAACTCTCGGCCTCAGTTTAGGGTTGCATTTGGACTTTTCGCTATTGCATTTAATTGAAATAATCTTGCAAATAAATAGGAGCAGATACGTCGTCAGAGGTACATATTTATTTTGTTCACCCCATGCATGTTTGAGTTCAACATGTGCCTCTATCTATTTTCTCATAGATGCATTCAGCAAAGCCGACTAGTCATTTTCACAAAGATCGACTGCACTTATAATATAGGCAGAAAATTAGAGTTTAATATATTGGACCACCAAAAATATATTTTTTAAAAAATGTCAGCTTGCGTTGTGCATTGGCCAAAATTAATGAACAATTGGCCACATGGAGTTGTGCAAATTGGAAGGGAGCAGAATACGACAGGGCAGGCAAGGCTCAAAGACCAGGGATTCCTTACTGTAGGTTGCTGTGCGGCTTGTCGTCGGGGTGCAGTACCGTTAAGGGCCCATTAACCTCACAAAATTCCAAAGAAATTTAAACAAAAAAATAATTTTATAGTAAATTTTGTCTGATTTTCCACTAACCATTGCGGTAGGCGGTAGCTACGCCATTACCGTGCCTTTTGAGCTTATCGTCGGAGAGTGATAAGAGCATCTCCAAGGGTGTGTTCGCTCCCTAGTACGTAAAACGAAACAACATTTAGTACCTAATTAATTAATTATTAGCTAAAATAAATTTTAAAAAGATTAATATGATTTTTTAAAGTAACTTTCATATAGAAAGTTTTCGTTAAAAAAAACACTGTTTAGTAGTTTGAAATACATGTACACAGAAAACGAGGGAGGTGAGTTGGGAAAGTAGAGATAAAAACTCGGTCCAAGAGTCTTTTCAAATCTTACTCTCCATTTGCTTCCTAAAAAAAATCCTTTTTTTTTTTACTCCAACAATCCCTTCATATCCCACTCTCCAAATTATATAGGCTCTACTCCCTCCGTCCAAAAATAAACCAATCTTGTACGGGATATGACACATTCTAGTACAACGACTCTAGACATAAGGGCATCTAAATTTATCGTACTAGGATGCACCATATCTGAGGTTAATTTATTTTAGGATAGAGGAGTACATGTCAGTGTCTTCCTCCTTTTTCTCTCTCTTTAGGCCCATGTATAATAGTTACAAGCAAGAGAGATGGGAGAAAGATAGACAGAGGATGCGGGACCCACGTTTGACAAGTGGAGGAGGCGGGCTATATTCGGAAATATCGGAAAACCAGAAATAGGCTATACAGACATAAACATATTGGTATTGATCGAAAGCCGATAATAAATATCGGAAACATTGGATTGTAAAATCGCACAATTAATTTTGCATAACTATAATATAACAAATTCAAGGTTACACTATGTATAAGTTATAAGTTGTCTTCTTTTAACCTTGAACTATAGTTAGGGATTTGGTTGAGAAGTTGATGGGCTCTAAACTATGAATCAAATAAAGAAATAGGCCATAAATATTAGTGTATTTAGAAATACGATAATTATCATAATATAAAAAAGGTAAAATCATTTCCATTTCCATGTGTTTTTTTACCATTTTCATTTCTGTTTTCATCGGTAATCATTTCCATGTTGCTCGGCTGGTAAAAATCGGAAATGAAGCATCGGTCGATCAAGAATTTTCATTACCATTTTTACCCCTAAGCGTGGCTACGTGGGGATTGGTTTGGCTAGCCGAATGGCTTGGCCATCTGGATAGCAAGTCCTTTAGTGGTTTTTTTTTTGGGGTCAAATTTTAACATGGAGAGCTAAATAGTCACTCTTTTGGAGTTGCTCTAACCCCTGAACTCCGTTAGTAAGGTAAAATCCTACTCACAACCTTAATTCATGTTGGCTCGTCATGCCCTTGCAGTTTGATCTTCATCAGATCATCGTGCCACATGCATCACTTGAGGTCTGTATCGGACGTGGAAATTTTCCTGATTTATGTAAGAAATTTTCCTGAAACTCTTACGCAAATTTCTGTAAAATTCTTGCATTTAAAATGGGATCCAAGTCCTGTTAACAAAGCATCAATCATGTACAAAGTACCAAGTATTTTTACAC